TTGTTCCAGCAGTATAAATATATTTCTGTATATAATAATAAAAAATCTTATCCCCTCCTATTTAAATAAACTGAACCATTTTTTTTTATCATAAAATTCAAAACTGCAAAAAGTTGTTCAATATTCAGAAAGTTAAAGTTTATTCAAATATATTCTGTTCCTGCTGAACACATCAGACTGAGTGGAGCTTTAGACCTCCCCAAGATGGCGCCACCAACTCGCGTCAGCGCCTATAGGAGAGAGCTGTCTGCAAACCCATCCAGATAGGAACAGCGCTGAGCTCCGCCCCTTTCTTCCAAACCTATGACGTCATCAGGAAGCGGACTTTCAGAATAAATCGTGGATCCCTTCCAGTGTTCAGGTTAAACTGGGGTTCCGGTCCGATGGACCTTCTGCGGTTCTTCCTGTGGTTCATGGAGCGGCTCCAAACGTGAAGCTAACGCTGCAAGACCCACAGAACCGGGACCGAACTGTCCACCTCCTCAGTCGGCTTTTACCCTGAAGGACCAACCGGAAGCTCGGCCTGCGCTCCATGCAGCTTGAGGCTGAAGCGGACAGGATGGAGATGTGACCAGAACCGCGCGCCGATCGGAACCACTGCATGACGTCAGCATGGCTGTGAAGGTAAGAGCTCAGAGGGGGTGGGGGTAGGGGTTGGATCTGGACCCGGAACCGAACCAGGCGGTACCGCAGCCTCATAGAGCGTCAGGGGAAACAACAGAAAACAGCTCGCGCTCAGGTCCGGTTCTACCCAAAGTTCCGGTGGAGCCCAGAGCACCTGAACCACCTGTAGAGATCAAAGGCAAGGCGGCGGGGTGGGCGGGCCGTCCAGGTGAGCGGATCACGGAAATAAAACCCGCTGACTGGAGATCCGTCCAGAACCAGAACCCAGACAGTGGAGGACTGAAAGCCACTGTCTGGGTTCTGGGTCCAGTTTATCTGGGTCAGAGCTTCCCATCACCATGGCAACCACCTTAGAGAAACTGAAGCAAAATGCAGGTTCAACCAGTTTGTCATTACCAGTAACATCCCAATAACCCCCCTGTATTATCCCAGTAACATCCCAGTAACCTCCCTGTATTATACCAGTAACCTCCCAGTAACCTCCCTGTATTATA